AAACAGATGCCACTCTTCTTTAGGAAGATAAATCTCTCCTTCTGAGGCAAGTCCCTTAGCTTGAAACAGGTTTCCAACTGGTGCTCCTTCTTGCAGCATGGACATGCCTCCTTTCTGTTATTAGGCCTGTCAGTTCCTCCTTCCATTGCGAAGGATGAAGCTTTGCCTCCCACGCTCCCTTTCTGTCGCTTTGCACTTGAACTTGACTTGAATGACTGTCCGATATTCTTCCCGAACACGTTGCTTGCTATCTTAGCCTCCTGTTCGATAAAGTCTGTCATGTGGCTAAAGTTGGGAATTACAGACTGCTCCATGGCTACGTGAGCCTTAGATGCCCACCTGGCTTGTAGGTGAACAGGCAGAAGGCTCTGTATCTTAAGCAGTGTGTCCGTTGAGCTCATGTCCGCTGAATAACCCATCTGTGATGTGGACATTTGACATCTCCTCATATCTCTGGCTAGATCCCATAATGCCTGACTGTCACTTGGGCGCAGGTTGGCTCGGCAGATCACCTTATCGACGTGTGCCTTCGCTACTATGTAGTTCTGTCCGAATTGATCTTGTAGGATGCTACGAGCTCTTGAATATCCAGTATCGGGATGTAACAAAATACAATTCTCTATAGCCTCCCTTGCCTTGCCTGTACAAAATTGTATTAAATAGGTTAGTCGCATCCTGTTATCTTGCACCTTGTGCTCAATGTTAACATCAAAACAATTACAAAAGCTCCAATAATCAATAGGGTTACCGGAAAAACAAGTCATATCAGGTTTGGGCAGGTGCATTGCCATCATCATCTCTGACAAATTATGTTCTACAGAATTTACATTCTTATTACATGTATATGCATTTGGCATTGTATGTTCACCCAACACTCTTTGGGAAGTAACATCCTGATTCTCATTACAAATATCTACCGGTACAACATTCCCTGTACACCATTCAGCAGTTCTTTGCTGAGTTTGACCTTCTGGAATTTGTAACAGTTCTTGTGGCTTTATTTCATGTTCTTGCCACAATTTTGCTTCAGCTTCGGCGTTCTCAAGTTCATTTTCAATCTTGAGTCTATCAAGTTTTTCGTTGAGTTCAAACTGTTCTCGTTTTAGTTTATGTTCTCTCTGTAGCTGTACTACCTTCATCCTAGCAAGCTGTCGCTTCACCTCGGCTTCTCTCATCTTCACGCTTGAGGAGATGCTCGCCCTGGAGGCCATCGATTTCACTTCAGCGTCCCTGGATGCTCTGGTTTCACTCCTTGCCGTTGCATCCCCGTCAACGCCGTTCTTTGGCTCTCCAGCTTCCGACCCCTCATGCTGGTTGCTTGCTTGGACCTTCTCCGACATCTAGAACAAGTTGTGAACTTTTGTGTGAACGCGCCAATAAAGGAAACGTTGCAACGACTTGTTGAGTTCTTATTTCTCTTTATTTATGTTCTTTTCGTAACAAGTCATCTTCATTTAGCGATTCAGCAATCCAATTAGCGAATCATCATCTTCAGCAATCCAATTAGCGGTTCACTGTAAACAACAACAAAGTAACAAAGCATTATAAACATATGCATCATATAAACAGAATTAAATGCATGTAACCCTGTCTACATTACAGTGAATCTTGTAAATACTCTTGACATATAAACGTGATGTTTATATACGAAATAAACTCCAAAAGGAATGTAACTATCCAGCTATACAGTGTATTCATTTATGTCTCTGCTTGATTTATATATCTTCATAAATTCCTGTGCTTAGAATGTGCCTGTAATGCACGGTGTTCTACAGATACGGCTTCATAATGCCCCCTTAATTAAGCAATTACAAAGTAGTCTATGTGATTCCAGACCCTATACAACTGACATCAATAATATTCCCTCAGAAACGGTTCTACACACTCCTTATAATGGTAATTAACCTCTTTTAACTCTTACAAGCTGTGCAAGTCACTATAACATATCATACTAATTAAATCATGCACCATCTTAGAGCTTGTTTATATGAATAAACCCCTTTATGCACGACACATACCTGGGTGCAATGCGTTTCATAGCCCCATAGCAACACATAGGCTTCTGTACATAACGTTGCGTTAATCATCCAAAATCAACTCACTATTTGCACATAATTCACAGGAAATGAACAATCATAATTATGAAACAACTAGTTTCATATATTTGACAGTAAATCAGTTATCTACAGTAATCATGTATCGTAGCTTACCAACTATTTGTTCATCCGGAGCAAAGTCATGAATTCTATGGTAACAAACATCAAGTCTGATGCCTTTGTCTGACTAGGCTTTCTGTTGCACAAACTTTCTTAACGCCACAGATGGCGCTATACAAGTTTCGCGCCGCTACATTAAGTTAAAACAAGTTTGTTTTTTCATCACTCACTGGTATGTCGGAAATTTACGATGCATACTGCTCAATTTGGCATACATTGACATGTCTCTACTTCATCACTAAACAAATTTAATGCTTTTCTGCAAATGAGATTCTTTGACATTAATACATTCTACTCTGCTCAAGTCATGATGAAATAATCACATAAGTATCATGTTTGCATTTCACTGTTCGTAAGAATAGATGGGCCTATATTGGAAAAGCATTTTTTTTTTTTTTTTTTTTTTTTTATATATACAACTATGTAGTTACCTGACTTGTTCATTTTATTTCAGTTTTCAAGTAAGGAACTCTGGAAGATTTGCTGAAAGACAATCACTTAGTCTAAATTGATTGGAATGTATTCTTTTAATGAATATATAAGGAGATCCAGAAAAAGACAAGTAAAATAAAATCAATGATAAACAATGACAATGATAGGGGAAGTGATAATAGCAGTACTTATACCACTAACACCACTAAAATTACAATCCATAAACAATAACAATTATTTAATATATTAATGTTTTTCATAAGATGATAATAGCATTATAAATATGAATTTCAATTGCAGTTGATTGAATCACAACAGCATCAAGAGAACCAACATTTTCCAGAGACTCAGCAGCAACAACCAACAACAGCAGCTGCAACAACAGCAGCAACAACAACAGCAGCAACAGCAGCAGCAACAACAACATCAACAGCAGCAGCGCAGCACCAGCAGCAGCAACCTGGACAACAACAGAGATGGCAGCAGCAACGTCGACAACATGGACAACAAAGAAAATGCACAGTTGATGGACAGCTGGAGCTGTTGGAGATTGAGAGGGAGATATTTGTAATATAAAAATTGAGGTTTAAAAGGAAAAATTGCAAGTAATGATAAGATACAGAAATCAATACTAGAAAATGAACTGTAAATTTTCTTCATCATTTTAACTGCATTTTTCAACCTTTGAGGGTTTTTTTTCTCTCAGTAGTTTAAGTAGATCTCAAGGTATAGATCTATTGATCTAGATTAAGTAGTTTGTTCTTTGAAAATTGATGGAAAATTGACACAACAAATGTCATTCTGATTTTATTTTATTAATAAATTCCCTTCAATTGAGAAGGCCCTTTAACATTAATTTCAGCTGTTTGTTGTGTGTTTATTTTAATTTCGTTGTCTCTACCAAAAAAAAAAAAAGGTAATAAAGTTGGGTGAATGTGGAGTCTGAATCTACACGCTTAGTCTTATCGTTAGACCCCATTCATTCACCTTTGTTATCTAAATTAAACTGAATGAAAGAATGGAATACAATTTTAGGTCCCAATTTAAAAAAAAAAATCAAACAAACAATTTTGTACATTGCGATGGTATTGGGTCTACTTTTCATAGAACTTCAAGCTCAAGTCAGTTCATTTCAGGAAAAAAAAGGCAATACTTACTTGGTTTTTCTTTCCGCATATGACTTGCGTCACCCTTCTATTGTCACACAAAAAAGATCTCAAAGCTACAAAGACTTGCAGATGGGCAGATAGATCCTTGCTCCTCTTTGTGGCATGCTCTAACTCGTCGTTTAACTCATTTATCATGTATAACACTCCTTCCCTAGTAAATCTGTATTTTTATAACATAGCTGCATCGACTCTAGATTTGTACGGTCCCGGAAAACACACTCTCTACCGAGGGCAGCAACCCCTAGGATATTCATGATTGCTGCCATTTTGCCCTTCTTGGTGCCTTTTTGGTTGTTGAGAGTAATTAGTCGGTGTAAATTGACTTTGCCGGGAGGTCCAAGGCAACCGACTAAATTATTGAAATTAGTCGGTGACTTACAGAAATTTGTCGGTGTTTTCCACCGACAAAATTTCATGAAATGGAAATTAGTCGGTGATGATGAATTTGTCGGTGAAAATGATATTAGTCGGTGAAAACCCCCGACTAAATGTTTGATGAAACGCCCCCCTGATGTTGTTGATACGCATTTCACCCATCTGTATTCCACTTTCTAGTTGTTGGATGTCCTTCATCACATATTCCAGGAATGGGTTGAAGAGACTTGGAGAGAGGAGGCAGCCTTGTATTATCTCAGTTATGACATCAAACCATTCAGTTATCTTTCCATTCACCATAACAGAGCATTTGGTTTGTTTGTACATGCTCTCTATGAGGTCAACTAAGGAACTTTATACTTGTCATGAAAAGAACATGTGTAGTTTTTTTTCTACATTTATTTATATTCATATTTGGTATTTCACATTCCAAATAACAAATCTAATATGACTCCTCTCCTCAAAAAAAAAATAGTATCACTCGATCGTTTCAAATTCTATTGAATATGAACTTTCATAAATCAAGTAATCCTGAAATAGTTGCTCCATTCATAAACGGGGGATGAATGCTAGAGCTACCAATCGGCAATCATTAATAAATCATCAATTATATTTTTTAAAATATCTTTTACAGCATATTTTGATTTCTAAATTCCCATATCTCTATGATATTTTTTTTTTAAAGACAGGGTTGCATGGCAAATTATCCGGGAAAGTTACCGCGAGTGATTATACTTAGTGGGGAATCATCACATGAAGAATATTCCCGGTGTAATGGTCCAGGGATATACCGTCTGCATATGAAACATTAACGCAATCTCATTTATCATTGCGTGCAGATTAACGGGAACGTTCTTTTTGCCTTCGGGAACTTTATCACAGTCTTGGCAATCTCCGTGGACCGCTACTTGGCCGTAGTCTGGTCGGCCCGCTTCCCTCCTTCCCAATCAAGAACCATCGTCTTTATCGTCTTCTGTTGGGTCGCCGCCATTGGATCCTCCTTTCCCTCCTTATTCGGAGTCGTCTCTGCGATTGGGTATCAGGAAATTTCCCACAGCTGCTCTCCAGAGTGGCAGGAAGACTGTTTTTATTCCACGATCCTCAACGTCATCATCTATGTAGTCATCGTACCTACGATGGTTTTCTGCTATGTTGGTGTGTTCTTGAACGTGTGGCGTCAACAACGGTTGCTTAGGTCCTACGCCGACGAGAAACCTAGTATCATGAGCAACGTATGTTCCGTAGAAGACAACGACGATGACGACCACGACCATGTGACCCATACTGACCATGACATGCAAATGGATGACATTGACCAGTCGATTGAAGGACCTACCTGCTCGGATCTTACTCCAGGGCCTATGGACTACTCCCAGTCTTCAAACATCGAGGAGCCTGACGCTGAACATGATGAAGGAGAAAACGAGGAGAAAAAGACTATTCAACAGGAAAATATGATGACAGGAATCAAGAAAAAAGATCGTAGGTCTATGCAGAAGAAACTCAACGTTGACAAAAGAGTTGCTCTGACTGGTAAGTACTGCCTGTGTTGGAATATCTTAAAGTTTGTAGAAATGTTTAATTTTGTGCAAATCGTAATGTTAATTTGACTGTGTTACCACAAGACAATGTTCGAAATAAAATGGCGGGTTTTAACACGTCAGAATGTATAATGTTACCATCTACATTCAGTTCCTTGTTGATATGTTTCATATGATTACCACCCAACACCTTTTTTCCAACATTGTCGGGTTCTTTCCTCTTTCCAGGAACCCTCCTGGTGCTAACCACCTTGGTCTGTTGGTCACCGTACTGCATCGTCTACTCTTGTCTTCTATCCATCAACATCCCCCATTGGATGGGCGTGGCCACGGTGTGGCTAGGTTACTCCAACTCCCTATTCGACCCTCTAATCTACTCGTTCATGAATAGACGAATTGCAGCCCGTTATCGTGACATGTTCAGACGTTGGTCGGTTGGATTGAATGCAGTAATCAGATGTAACTCCGGAGAAGCATGATTTTTTTCCATGACAAATATATATAAATGTGTTTGTTGTCCTTTAAAAAGAAGGGGGAAATAACGCCAATAGGAAACGTAGTCTTCATATTTAAATTGTATCAAGATAAATAGAAAACTGTTTTGCGTTATTATCATGAGACGCCGAATGAAATTTGAATGTTTGAAAGCTCATAATAATCACTAATAGATAAGAATCGGCAGTTGTCGAAATGGTCGTAATTATGATAGTGATGACAAAATTGTAACGTTGAATAAATCTTGCTTCGTATACACGTTAAGTGTCTAAATAATATGATTAATTGGCTTTATACTCATGAGTGTAAGAGTAATCTAATCTTCGATTGAGTAACTCATATGTATCATGTATGCACCATCTATTTTAATCAATTGTCTGTTTGCACTCAAATTATATTTCATCACGGTCAATTGTACTTCTTTCAGCTAGTTTACGGTCACTGTGCTCAACATTAGAATACATGTTTTATTTTAAACCTAAGTTACGTTTTTAAATAAGTTTGACTCGTTTTCAACTTAAGAGCTCTGGGAATCATACAATACAGGACATCTTAATCAAGAAAATTACTGTGAGGAGGCACGATGGCTCAGTTGTAGAGCAGTGGTCTCGTAACTGTGAGGTCAGTGCGCTCTTGACCTTAAGTAAGACATTAACTCTCATTACCAAGACCCTTTGGGGAGGATTTAAAGCTGTTGATTGCTTAGCAGTCAGGTTAAACGAGCATCAATCATCAATTCATCATCATCATCAAACTTCATGTATAGGCTACTGTCGATTGTCAGGAGTTTATGATCATCATTACGAGAGCTTTTGGTTTCATAGCAGTCAGGTAAAACGAACATCAATCATCATCGTCTTCATCAAACTACGTGTAGGCATATACTTATCGATTGACAGCAGCTGATGATTATCATTACGAGAACTTTTGGTTTCATTGAGCAAAAGACACACTCTTAGTGTTAAAATCTAAAAACTCAGCTGCATGTAACAACAATTGAACTGAACTTCGAAAGTACAGTCCTATTGAAACCCTAACGGATCTTTAAAGGTAATACAAAGTTTTGGTATGGGGTCATAAGTTTGGTTCAAATGAACATATTGAAAGCATATGCGATCCTACAATATTTAGTGATCGTTATCGCGGTTGAAATCGAGTCTAAAGTTATGAAATTGTAAATAATACACTCTTTATGTTATAGCTCCCTCTCAAGGTCAAGATATTAATTAAGCTGTAAAACAATGTTTCTTGACTAAAATCGACCGATTAGCTATTCCCATTCGAAAATTTTATATCAGAACAACATATTCTGAGATTTTCATGGTCGCAGCTACCATTGTACGGCCGTAGGCGCTATTTGAAATTTATCAAAATTTACCGGGAGCGCAGGTAAATTTTTATTTTTAGGCCTGAGGGTTTTAGGGTCTAAATTTTGTTGTCTTTATAATAATACATACACAGGGGCATCCACATATATCAAAATGGTAAAGAATCACTATCCATCCCATTTTCAAAATTTCCCAAACCTTTGTATTACCTTTAATATCTCTTTTCTGACAGAGCACTTGAATCGCTCTCTTTTATAAACTATCATTTCTCTTCATTATTTCATTTTGTTTAGCAATTTTAGGTTACGATTAGTTCAATTCCCGGAATCTGTGTGTAGGCCCCCATACAAAGCAAAATACTATTTTGTTAGGTCTATGTTGTTTTTCTTTCACTCGATCTACATTATTATACTCCCAAGCGTTGGTTTCATATTGGAGGATTTCTTTTTCTTTTTCTTCAAGCCAGAGTCGAAACATGAACATGCATGGAAAAATGAACTGACAAACTGATAAATGAATAAATCAATAAAATTGATGGATAAAGGGATAAATGAATTGGAATGTATAAATAGATTAATATTAATCCAGTTGCTCTCAGTTGCGTTCATATCACAAGGAAATATATTTGAAAGGGCCAAGTCTGAGTTTGAGTTTGATGTTCATTATTGCTCCATACATTGTATCGTCACACATTGAACATACAGGGTGGCAAAAAAACATACATAGACACAAAAAAGTGTCGTCATAAGCACAGCCTGAGCTTATACGTACTCTTGTTAAAACTCTGAAGGTGGGGCGGAATCCTTCCGGACAAAAGGGGGGGGGGGGTCCCTCTGGACCACAGAGGAGGGGGGGGGGGGGGGGGAGTGCTATCTGAGTTACCAAAGGCAGCATGCAGGCCGTATCGCCTGTTTCAGGATTTATGGGAGTCTCGGTGAATTCATTCAAAGCATCCTTTCATTCAAAGTCTATTTATACGATTCCGTTATATTCAAGATGACACATCACAGTCAGTGGCTGGCGCGTATGCAAGGTGCAGTTTTGTTTAGGGTGTGTTTTGGGGGAAACTCCCCGCCCCCCTCAATAAAATAAAATAAATTGTGCTAATGGGTGACCAAAAAAGGTGACCCTACCCCCCCCCCCCCCCAACGGAAGGATTGGCCAAATGTTCAAATTTTTGGGTAAAAAAAAGTGCTCTACCCTCCCCCCCCCCCCCCTTATTCAGCGGGGCTGGCTGAGACGATGCGAAATTTTCGGCGCGATTTTCAAATTTTAACCCCCCCCCCCCCCCCCCCCCCCTGCGTACACGCCTGGTCAGTGGCAATGAAGACGTGCCAATATGATTGGAGTATAGCTAGCCTACTCCCCATGGAATGCATGGATACTCATATATGTACTGTCGCAAATTAGTCTTTCCAAAACAATAGTAAGCCCAAGGTATTTTCAACATGCAGGCTTGTACGTCACCTTGTGTATTTACGAACATGACAGTGACGTGTTACGTGATCCGAACATGATTTCTGTAAACAACAATCTGCGATATACCTGGGCCCCGTTGCATCAAACTTACCGTTGATGGTAACTTTGCCATCAACGGCAACTACCATGGTAACAGGGCTCAACAGCCAGTCAAAATCGAGGTTTCCATGTTAGTTATTTAATGGCAAAGTTTCCATCAATCATGGTAAGTTTGCGCAACTAGCCCAGAAGCGGTTCTCAAAGGTTTTTTTCTTTGGGGGCGGATGGTAGTCTGGGGTTCTTACATTGATTTTCTACACGTGCCTCGATTATTTGTCATTTATAATCGAGACAATTGACGGGGTGATAAAATTAGGGTTAGGCTTGAAACCCCACCCTCGGTAGAACCGCCAATGCTAAAAAAAATCCTTACGATTACGATACACTTGAGTTGGATAACGGGGTTATAAACTCAGGTAAGCTTTAAGAGCAAATTGGGGAGGATGAAAGGAACAACAGGACATGATGATCTTTCTTACCCCATATACCAGAAGGAAAAAAAAATGACACGATCGAATTTACATTTTGCAAATCTTAGAATCTCCTACCTGGAACCTACAAGTAGCTGATACACAGATGGCGCCCTTTTATTGACTACTAAATCCTAGATCGCGTGCAAAATGGATTGAAGAAAGTGAAATCAATGACAATTAATGAAAATTATTTAAATAACTGTTGGCATCCAATCAGAAGAAAAAAATATTTATAGACAAGTTACAACTAGATGGTAGGAATGAAGAAACAACCGACCCAAAACAAATTTTAAATGAAATTATACATTTTTATCACAATACTATTCTCAGAACATGAAATAATGGGAGGACAGATGATCTCTTTTTTTAATAAAGCTATAGTAAGAAGTCGTGTGATGAGAAAATTACATTTGGTGAATGTACTTCAATGCTAAATAAAATGTCTTCAAACAAATCGACTGGGAATGACGGTTCGTCAGTGGAATTCTATCACATCTTTTGGCCTGATAAGGGAACCTTATTTTAGACTCCTTCAATACCTCCTTCGAGAAGGGTGAATAATTATTGTCTACCACACAGAAAGAGGGTGTAATAACGGTAATAAAAAAACGAAGACAAAAACCCTTTATATATTTGCAATTACCCTTCTTAATGTTTACTATAAACTTTTGTCTAAAATGTTGGCTGAAAAACTAAAGAATGTTAGAAGAGGTGATACAAGTATATCAAGTGGGATTTTTGCCTGGTAGGAATATAGGAGTAGCTGTGAGAATTATTGATGATGTCATATTTTACACACAGGTGTACAATGTACAGGTTTTTTTTTTTTTAAATATTATTTGATTCCGAGAAAGCTTTTGACACCGTCTCACACTCATATATGAATTTCTTAACGAAAAAAATGGTTTTGGCCCATATTTTTGTAGATGGAGAGAAGTATTGTATAATATTGCAGTTAGCTGTATCATGAACGAGGGCTTTTCCACAGGCTATTTTGGAATAGGCAGGACAGTAAGACAAGAAGATCCTTTGTCTCCATAATCATAGAAACATTAGCAGTGGTTATTCGCAATGAACAAAAATTAAGAGGTATTTTGATAGGCAATATACAGACGAAGATAATAATTTATGCAGATGACTGTTCAATCTTTTGAAAGACACAGAATATTTGAAAATCTTAAGAAAAAATAATAAATTCCTTCACTCAGGGATCTGGATTAAAGATTAATTAGGACAAAACACAAATTATGAAGCTTAGGTTTTCTAGTCACAGTAGTGACAATTTGACCGATATTACATTGGGTAAGATGGTTTCTCTGGTTAAGGTGTTTGGGATATACTTTTCTTCGGATATTAATGTTAAAGAAGAAATTAATCATAAGGAAATACAGAGCAAAATAAAAAGATTGTTAGGGTGGTGGAAGCAACGTGATTTATCACTATTTGGGAAAATTCAATTGTTTAAAGTTTTGGCAATCTCTAAATCACTATAATGTCTTCTATGGTGTCAGTACCACCAAGGGTTTTTCGAGGAAGTTGAAAAATATGCTTTATTTCTTTATATGGGATGGACATCACAAGATAAAAAGGAATATCTATATTTGAACTACGATGCTATGGGGGTTTGAAATTTTTTAATTTCAAGTACATGATTTATGCAGAGCGTGTAAGTGTGGATTAAGAAGCTGCTTAATTTGTGGCAATAATGACATGAAATGGAAACAATTTTTCGAATATATATTCAGAACGGTAGGAGGAAGGTTACTATTTCTTTGCAATTATAATCCCAAAACAATCAATTTCAAGGCACCCAATATCTATTTGGATTTTTTTGAATATCTGGAATTATTTAAAAGAGAAGGAATATATTGTCAAAGAAACACATAATGAAAATCAAATCTTTAACAATACTTTTATTGAAGGTAGGATAAGCGTGAACACATACCACACAAAAATGATAGTA